ATAGATAGATAGATAGATAGATAGATAGATAGATAGATAGATAGATATGCTAGCTGAGGAATTATGGAAGTCCACAAGTCTTAATATTGCCACGTTTGGAGACCTCTGGCCAACATGAATCCTTCCCTACTTATCCAGTTAGAAAAAACCACCCTGGCCCAAGAATGAAATCCTGCCTTGCTTCAGTGTTCCTGCAGGAGAAACTTGGTCTAGGATCTATAAAGTGCATTGCCAAAAAAAAAGAAAAGAAAAGTGGGGGGAGGGAGATAGAACCAGGGAAGACCGTGTGGATTCCAGTCATCCCAGTAGATATCACGGGCAGTTCAGCCACAAAGAGAAAGGAACAGAAGCTGCTCAGGCCACGTTCTGGTTTCCCAGCTGTCCAAGGGACCTTCTAGTCTTCTGCCTCCGTCCACATGATTCCAGAGAACATTTTGGCACATGGCACCGGGAGAGAAGCAGGAGAGGGCTTGCCTCGGGAGAAGGGAAGGGTGGGCGCCAGGCAGCCCCACTGAGGAAGCTGTGCCCCCTCCCCCAGCAGCCTCAGCAGCCTGTGCCAGCCTGCCAAAGGTGCCCATCACACGTTTGTGTCTATCCCTTCCTTCTCTTGCCTCCTCCACGGAGAGCCTTCCAGCCCGGAGGTTCCACGCTTCCTTCCTTCAGCTCCATCTTCGGAACTGCAGCTGCGAAGGCAAGTCCACTTCCGATGCGCTCCGGAGAGACCCTTGAGATGAGGGGGAGAGCCGGGAGAAGAGTCACGGGGGGGATGGTCGGGCTCGCCATGCCTGGAGGAAGGTGGCTTTTGCAGAGGGTCCCAGAAAGGGAGCCAAGCTCAAAAGGATTCCAAGCTCTTAGGAGCCTTTCCCCGTCAGCCAGGACATGTCTCCAGTTCTGCAGAAAAGACAAAATGGCGGCTGGGTTATCGCAGCCTCCCTGAAGCCCAGGCAACGCTGGCCAAGAGACCTGGCCAGGGATGGATGACAGACTGACAGACAGACAGATGATAGATAGATGACAGATAGATGATGATGAGAGAGAGAGAGATGATAGATAGATAGATAGATAGATAGATAGATAGATAGATAGATAGATAGATAGATAGATGATAGAGATAGATGATAGAGATAGATATAGAGATAAATAGAGAGATGATAGAGAGATAATAGAGATAGATATAGATAGATATAGATGAGAAATAGATATAGATGAGAGATAGAGGTAGAGATAGATAGATGATAGAGATAGACAGAAATAGAGAGAGAGAGAGATGATAGAGATAGATAGACAGATGGAGGGATGGATGCAGGGGTGGGATTCAAATTTTTTAACAACCAGTTGTGTGGGCGTGGCTTAGTTGGTGGCGTGGCTTGGTGGTCATGTGACCGGATGGATGTGGCTTGGTGGTCATGTTATTGGCTGGGCATGGCCAACTCAATAACACTCACATCGAGGCACTCATTTCCTCGCCTGGCGTCTCATGACTGTGGGGATGCTGCAGCAGTCGTAAGTGTGAAAAATGGTCATAAGTCACTTTTTTCACTGCCATTGTAACTTTGAATGGTCACTCCACACAAGCAAAGTACCAGCAAAAGAGGGGGGAAAAGCTCCAGAGAAGTTCCTGAGACAGGGAGTCTAGTCCTGCCAAGAATGTAAGCAGGGTTAACGGAGAGGCAGTTTCTGTAAGCAACACCAGAATGTTTCCTTCCTGCCTTCCTTACAGGATTAGGCCAGGAATTTCTTCCAACAACCGGTTGTCCAAACTGCTTAGAATGTTAACAACCAGTTCTAGTGAATAGGGGCGAACCTGTAGAATCCCACCCCTGGATGGATGGATAGATCCGGAGCACAGTGGCATAGTGCCTGTCTGTTCCTCAGCTGACCACTGAAGGCCACAGAACTCTGCACCAACGTAGCCTCTGGGGTCTTTTAATAATCATTTAATAATGGATCAGTTCTGTGTCACAGTTGGCCTCTTATTTTTAATCTAATGAAAAAGCAGAGATAGCTTCTCAGCCAAAGGCAGCCCCTCCAATGCCCTTTCCTGGGCCGTGGTCCTAATGCAAACACACACATGCGCATACATACCGGATGAAGAGCCTTAAATTGTAGCAGTAAAAAAGAGAGAGAAAGAGGGAGGAAAGGAGAATAAGTCAGGACCACTCTCCTCTGTGTGGGAAAACAGATCTAAATTCCATTCCAACCTAACATGAATGTGATCATTCACTTTCTAAACTGGGTGGGTGAGTGGGGGCCACTCAGAGTTCTTGGCAGCCACATATAGTCCCAGTTCCTTTTTGTATTCCTCCCCCTCCTGCCCCATAAACTGTGGTGCCAAAATTCTGCTGCAAACTATCAAACGGAAGCCGTGCAAGTTTCCTAGGCAAATATTGGTCGTGGCTGAGTTGGGGATGGTGGTGGAGAAAGCAAAAAATGCAGGAGCCACTTTAGAAAAAGGGGGAAAGGATTCAAAACCGGAGACCAGGTTGCAGTTGTTCTGTCCCTGTTCCACGGCTCCATTCCTCAGTCTAAGAAAGCTAGCCATGAAAAAGCGCCCCTCTCTCCATCACCCGAAATCTCACCTTGTCCCTGTTCTGAGACCCAGAAAGCAGGATTCCTTCGTCAATTTTCTTCGTCAGAATAGCTTATGCCCAGATTTATAATGAGCCCCCCCCCCCCCCCCCCCCCCTGTCAAATGTCAAGATGGCCACCATGACTGGGCAGCCAAAGTTCTCCCCCCACGGCCGTTTTACACCCGGGGCCAACTAAACGGTCCCCATCTTGGCTTGATGCTCCTCCCATCCTCAGCCCCCCGACACGGAACGGGACCCCTCGCTGCAGCCCAGGCACCACGATCAACTCACTGCAGGATAATTCACCGTGGGACAATTTAACCGTTCCATTTAATTATTTCAAATGATTTTAATCATTTTAATTTTTATCATTCGCATTTCATTCTGTCCCTCCTTTTGCATCCTTTCTTTAGTTAATACTATAAATAATAATTCCACCGTTTCTTCGAGCTAGTTTAACTCTTGTGCCACAGTGAGAGTCAACCTGCGGTCATCTGGCCACGGCAAATTGTCATAGACCTCCCCCTCCCACCCAACACGCCCGATTCAAAATGAAAACAGTATGTTTTTCAGAAGAGACTGGACAGTCACTTGTCTGAGATGGTAGAGGTTCTCCTGATTGAGCAGTGGGCTGGACTAGAAGACCTCCAAGGTCCAGCTCTTCCAGCTCTATTCTATCCAAACCTTTCAAATCTACCTCCTCCCAACCCACAGGGACAGGTTCTCTCCTCCAGGCCGAAGAGAAAAGTGGAGAGTCCTTTGTCAGGCAGAAAGAAAAACGTAAAGAGCCCAGTTTAAAGTCACAAGAATAAGGCATTTGTGTTTCAGATGGTCAGGGGGAGCCACAGGAAGAGTAATGTGGTGGCCTAGAAGTGGAGCTCTTGCCTCATAATCAGGAGGCTGGGAGTTCGATCCTAGGTAGAGGCAGATACCTCTCTCTCTGGGCACAACTGAACAAAACTCCACATTGACAACAGGAAGGGCATCCGGCCACTAAACACTCAGTTCCATTCAGTTGCCCAGGCTCCACCCCGCAAGGGATTATGGCAAGGGTCTTCCAACATGGCAAGTTTAAGACTTGTGGACTTCAACTCCCAGAATTCCTGAGCTAACATGACCGGAGGAGGAGGGATTCTGGGAGTTGAAGTCCACAAGTTCTTAAAGCTGTCAATTTTGAAGACCCCTGGATTATGGGGTTGTTAAAAGAAGATGATGAGATGAGAGAGAGCCACAGGAAGTTCCCACTCATGTTTGCTGTTGCTCCAACATGTTTGCTCCACGGGGAGTCGGAATGTGGGAGCTGGAATACATGCCCAGAGTTAACCTCTCTGTGAAGGAGGAGGAAGGCAGCAGATACTCAAGGTGACTTACTCCACGTCTCGCTTGCGGATGGCTCTGCCAGAGCCCATGACGTCAGCCACTTTGGAGACCAGGGGGTCATAGTTCATGCTGGCCACGGCCAGCACCTCGTCACTCCTGGAAGAAAAAACTCAGGGCTCAGAAGTGGAGGTGAAGAGCCACTGCTACCTAGCCAGGGTGCATTTCCCACCAGGCAGGAGGTTCCAGTGGATTCCAAGGGAGTTTTCCCCAGGCGCTTTGCTTTTTTTTTCTTGCACCCAGGTCTGCTGAGTTGACCCAACGAACTGAATGGGATGATATGAATGGAACACAAATGCTGACTAATTATATTCGCATGACCCACTTCATTGGCTCAAGGAACAAGCTAGCAATCCCAGCATCTCTCATGATCCAAAAAGACAAGATGGCTTTTCAAACTCCCTTCTGCAGGTCGAGCTGTCCAGCAGAAACAGACAGACTGCTTTCTTGAGGCAGCTGCTGTGCGTCGTTGGCTTATTTGAAATCTGTGGTCTACCAAGACACCGAGATCCCTCTTGCAAGTACAACTGCTAAGCCAGGAGCTGCCTATCTTGTTTCTATTTAACTTTGGAACCTGACCCAAATGTGCTTTTTCAAGAGGCCTAAGTGGACAAATCAGCTAAATGTTGGAAATGCCACCAGACACCCGGGTCATATTACCATATGTGGTGGACATGGGTAGAAGCCAAAAAATATTGGACAAAAATACATACGTGGTTGGAGAAGATGATACAACAGCACAGTGATTTGAAACCCGAAATATTTTTGCTGGGGATTTATAGTAAAGAAAATGTATATTTGATTATTTGTGTATTAATTGCAGCTAGAATTGTATTTGCACAAAATTGGAAAAGTGAAGAGATTCCTACAGATGAGAACGTGATTATGAAAATATTAGAACATACAGAAATGAATAGGTCAACACATGCAATTAAAGAGAAGGTACAAACTAAATATTATATGATGTGGGAACTATTTTACCGATGGTTAGAGAATAAATATGAAAGCTAGAAATAAATGATTAGCGAAACATAAAAAATATATTAATAGAATTAAATAAGTTAAGATGATGATTGTTATAGTATTAGATATGTTATGTATATTAATATTAAGAGTAGATAAATAATGAATATGGCTGTAAACTTTAATTGTTGTTGCACAAGATACACTGTTTAATGGATTGTTTGTATGGATTTGGATGGATTTGGATGGATTGTTTGTATTAAAATAAAATTTTAAAAAGTGGACTTGTTTTTTCTTTGAGGACGTTTTGCTTCTCATCCAAGAAGCTTTTTCAGCTCTATTATTATTGTTGTTGTTAAACATAAAAATTCAGTGTCTACATAAACAGTGTGTTGTCTGGGTACAGTTAATTTTGAGAAATAATAATAGTAATAATAACAATAATACTTTTCACTTACTTACTTAGTAATAATCATAATAGTATTTGCTTGTCCATTCTAGTGAACCTTCCTTATGTAAATCATTCCCTTATACTTTTAAATTTCTAACTTCAGTTTCTGCTAGTTAACCATTGGTAAAATAAGTCCCATGTTAAAACATATCCAGTTTCTTCCTTCTCCTTAATTTTGAGTGTTCAGCCTCTTCAGCTCTGACAGGATAGTGGGGAATGGAAGGATGGAGTGGAAGAAAAACCAAGCGAGTCCAGTTGCCTCCTGAAAAAGCACCTTTGGGACAACCAGGACTGAGAATCTCTACAGACTTTTAGCTCTACAATTTGGGATGAAAACCCTTGGAATGGTGTAGGAATAGGAATGGATTTCCAGAGGGGGAAAAATTGCAGACTATAGGAACCATTTGTATCACTCGGGTAACCCCGAGGATACAGATAAACCTCCAAGTGGCCTGAATGACCCTCTAAAAGGATGCAAATGACCAGCTGCCTGCAAGGAACATAAATCCTTCCATTCCCTATCATTCAAGTCAGAGCTGAAGAAGCTTCTGGAATGAGAAGTGAAACATCTTCAAAAGAAAAACCAAGAAAGTCCAGTTGCCTCCTGAAAAAGCTCCTTTGGGACAACCAGGACCTGGAGGACGGAGGATCTCTGCAGACTTTGGGAACCTGACATTTCTCACCCCTGAACAAGGAGGCTGAACAGGATGCGGCCCAATATTCAAGTCAATCAAAATTCCTTTGACCTTTGGAAGCCTGGAATGGTCCTTGGTGACCTTCTTCAAAAATGTTTTTTTTTTAGTACCATGTTTCTCAACCTTAACAATGCGGGATGATCTTCCATCTCAGAATTCCCTAGCCAGCTATGCAGGCAGGAGAATTCTGGGAGTCGAAATCCACCCATCTTAAAATTGCCAAAGTTGAGAAACACTGTAAATCTGGAGTTTCGTGGCCAAGATAATAAAATAAAATACAATAAAAACTTCTATTATTCTTGGAAGCCAAAATCAATTGCACAGATTCAGCCAGCTTCTGTAACATCAATACACAAGCAGCTGTATTTGCTTATCACAAACTAAGTATAATTTTGCAACACACCATCATGGTGGTTTTTAAATTAAAGCTTTTCATGGGCACTTACTTAGTGTAAAAGGCTACAAATTTAAGTTCGTCTAGGTCTCCCCGAATAATCACATCATCAAATCCTTCTCCATGACCTAGAAAAGAAAACCAATGTGTATCTGTAGGAAGCACTAAGTTTCTTTTTCCTATGTTAATCTATGTTAGTCTGACATCTTTAACATATTTTTACACTTTAAAAAGTGTAAAAATATGTTATAAGAAACTAATTAATGCTGTACATGCATAAATATATTTAGAGCACTTTGAAATAAATACACATTTTTAAAATGTATTTCACCATATTTTTTATGGAGCACTGCATTGCAATGTGGAGAAAACAAGGAGAATTTTGCTGCGAAGTGCAGGTAAGCCGACAAGGTGCAGAGTTCGCTCCCTTCTGATCAAGAGTGGAGAAGAAGACATTTTATGGCACCCTAAATTTGATGCTTTCTCCAGCCTTTCAAATCTGGGCTTAATTTCGTAGCACGAAGTGTCCATAGATACAAGACTTCTGCATTTCTTCCACGCTTTCTGAGGAAGAAACATGATATCTGTGGATTTTGCCAATCTGCCTGAGTGGATTCTTTTTTAAAATTTTATTTATCCAACGTATATGGCCCCTCCACCTTAATGAGTGACTCTCTGGGCAGCAAACAGAATGTAATAAAAACAATAACGAACATTACAAGAGTTAAAATACAATCTACGTACCGGAGAACATCAAAGAGCTCCCCACCTCCCCAAACCAGAAAGGCAACCGAGAAGCAGGTCTCGGCACACTGTCTAATCCTAAACTTTTCTTCCCTCACCTGCATAGCGAATACTTTTGCCAAACATGGCAGTCCACAGGTAAGGGACGGTGCTGATTTCGGTCCCATAGGCCAGCATGTTCAGTGCTGCTATGCGCCCTGGGATGCAATAGAGAATGTAACAGAGAAAGTCAACCAGGCATATGAATTAGGGCCTTTAGAGCAACATCACACAAGTGCGCTTGTTCATTATTCAAATGGTGTAAGCCAGCGTTTCTCAACCTTGGCAACTTTAAGATGGGGGGGGGCTCCAACTCCCAAATTCCCCCGCCTGGGGCAGAATCCCTCCCCTCTCTATGCCCCGCTGCTCCTTGTGGTCAGAAGGGTGGGGGGAGAATCAGCATCATTGGGTTCAGGCCAGTGGTGGGATTCAAATTTTTTTACCAGTTTGGTGGGCGTGGCTTGGCTTGGTGGGCGTGGCAGGGGAGAGGTACTGCAAAATCCCCCTTCCCTCCCCACCCCACTAACCTGCTTTCCAGCTCCGTTCTCCTGGGCAGGGCAACCAAAGGAGACCCAGCCAATCAGATGGGACTCAATGGGAGGCAGGGAATATATGGGGTTGGCGGGGCCAGTCAGAGGTGGGATTTGCTGGTTCTCCGAACTACTCAAAATGCCCACTACTGGTTCTCCAGAACCAGTCAGAACCGGCTGAATCCCACCTCTGA